CGGCCACTTTGGGGCTCACACGGGGGACACGCACACAACAGCCCCGTCGATGGGCACGTGCCGCTCACACCGCTACCCTCGCGGTCACACACACGCCCCGAGTTGTGGATCACAGGCAGAAGTCAGCCCGACAGCCACCCCGCACGACGACACGGTGACACACTCACCCACACTTCGTATTCATTCACAAGCCGACGCGCAGCGACTCCCTGTCACCCAACCAGGCGGCACCACACACAGCCTTCACCGTCCCACATAAGTCACTGTGCCAGTCATTTATCGTCAACCACACTCAGCCTCTCGCCCACGTACACGGCTACATTAACATACACAAGTCATTTCACCCATCCGCACACACAACGCTGCTGCCCACGTTCCTACCCGCTGTCACATCCAGTGACAACCGGGGACAGTCACACAAAGAAGTAGCTCCGACAGTTCCAGCTCTCACTCACAATGACCCACAAGTGCACACGGTCACACTGATCCATCTCCTGAACAAGAAGCCTCAACTACGAATCGCCTTGACGGCCACGCAGTCATACCCGGGCACACCCAGAGACAGTCATGGGCTCCAGCACCCTTCACTCCCCACCCCCACCCCTTGGTCGTCCACACTCGCGCGTCGGGGTTTTAACTTGTCGCTGCCGCGCACTAATTGGGCCGTTTACTAATTGGTCGTCACTGCCCCCATGGCGCCTGGGATTCTATGTTGGTGGCGTCCAATCAAGGCCTGTCCCTTCCCTGGATCGGGGAGCTAGCGTCCCTTCGGCACGGGCTGCAGTGAGGAAGCACCTCTAGCCGCCCCCCACTCTCCCCATCCAGGATCTCTGTCCCTAACTCCAGGCAGGTCCCCGTAACGCGGCGCCGTCAGGAGGCTGTGCCTGGATCCTGGAACCTGAGGAGTCGGACCCTAGCTCCTCTTCTAGCCCATCGGGCAGGGTCAGGGGCGGCCACGCAGTCCGAATCCTCTTCACTCGCAGGGAAGGGAACTTTGAAACTTAGTTAGGAAGCCAGACGGTCGGTGCGTCCTCGGGTCTGTGCGTCGGTCCGGGTCAGGCTGGAGACGAGAGCGGCTTTTCGTCACTCGGAGCCCGGATTGAACAGCGCGCGTGGGTCTCCGGGCGGTCGGGGCGCAGACGCTCGGGCTCTGCGGTGCTGCGTGGTGAGTGCGCGTCGGGTGGCTGGATCCGCGACCTTCTGGGGTCTATCTCCTTCCCCACAGGGCTGTCCGCCCAGCTCCTGGCTGCAGGGGTGCTGCCGGGATACTGCGGGAGCAGAGCGTCCGGCCGCTAGCAGGGCCTCCGGGGCTGGGCCTCTGCAAGTGCGTCCTCAGGCCCTAAGGGAGCGGTTGCCGCCAGGAGCCCTCTGCAGTTTACCCTGGTCCGGGAGGCGTGAGCCGCGCAGGCGGGGGGCGTCCCGGGGTGGAGGTGGGCGGCACGCAGCTCGCCGAGGGGAGAGCAGATTATCTTTTGTGCGCTGATCCGCAAAGTTGGAAGCCTGAGTGGGGGGATGGTGCCTTAGAGAGAAGGCGGGTTCCGGAGCCGCTTCCACTGTGGTGGTGGGAAAATAGATTAAAAACAGCAAGTGGAGTTTTACAAGGAGCTGGGAATGGGGCGCTGGGTCATCCGCCTTTGGCTTTGTTACGTTTAAAACACCAGATGGGTAAGACAGGGCTCACCCTCTGATTTAGAAACCGAGATAGAGACTGGGCATTTGTGCCTTCAAGTCTGGGTACCCAGGCTGAGGAGGAGGTAGAAATTAACCAGAAGAGGTCTTTTGGAGGTGATGTATCTGCAAACCCCATCAGAGTGGGGGACAAACTGTCTTTTACTGCCGCCTTTGGGAAGCAGGACTCTGCCGAGCCCCCCCCCCCATCCTACCCCACCCCCACCCCGCGTATTTTATTCGGAAGCTTTCGAAACCTCTGACTCAGCACCAAGAACCTCCGAGATCGGAACTCGCTGGGGAGGGCGCAGAAGTGGAGGGTGGAGATTTGGGTTTCTATCTGTGCTGTAGGACCCTGGCCCATAGCTGGAGAAGTTTTGCGCATAGCGGGGTGGGACAAGCCACTAGAATGCTTGCATGGAAGGTGTGACCATGTGCTTAGATGTGGAATCTGCTGTTCAGTCGTTCCTGCTGGGTGGGGGTGATGGAGCACCTGGCTCAGCTTGAGCCAGAGTCCTGCTGGCAGACTCTCCAGTGGGCTGTGGCCTTCCGTGATGGTTCATGGGGTTCACTGTGACCAGGAACTCCATTTTTTTTTCAGACTCCAGAAACTGATGTAGAAAGGTTGATGTAGAAAGAAAAAGAAAATGTCCAAGCTTCAAGCTCCCTCACAGCGGCTCACTATCAGAGCTGGAGGGTAAACGGAGACCTAAGGTGTGGTTGTTATAGCCCACTGGGGCGGTGTGTCTGTAAAATGGGATACAGAGCCAGAACACAGCCCACACACTGGGGGCTCTGTTCCTGCAGCCAAGACAAGAGGCCTGTCTCTCAAGCATTTGCCCAAACGATGTCAGACAACCGTGGGGCAGTTGACCTGGAAGGGCCCTTGGCGACGGTCCCCTTGGCGACCATCCCCTTGGTGACTGTCCCCTTAGCAATCCTCTACACAGAGATTCCTAGCCTCTTTAAATTGAAGTCATGAGCACTGGCTGTTCTTTTGGTGTTTTTTGTTTGAGTAAACACACAATGATAAAAAGCTGTTGTGGCTTCATTTTAGCTTCAGAATACTTGTGTAATTTATTAATCACGGTAACATTGGTATGCATTAGAAAAATCGCTTACCAGATACAAGGCAAGTACGTTACTTTTAAAAATGTAGTATTGGTGCTTGGTAAGCACAGCGGCTCCTGGCCTCTGGCATGGAGGATCTGGGATCTCATGAAGGGGACTATTGAGCTCCTCTTGGCTTCATAGATGGGGAAACTGAGTCAAGGAGCAATATACCTATGGGTTACTGGGCAGGCAAAAGGCACAGTTGAGGTTGAATCTACATTTCTGTTTCTCAATTCACAGTAGGTCAGTAGTCTGGTCTCCTTGTGAGTCTCTGTCGCAGTTTGGGGGTAAGGGCCCTATGATTTCCAGCCACCGAGATTCGAATTCCTTCCATTTAGATTTTGGAAGGCACTTTATCAGGTTGGAAGCTCCCAACTCAGCTAAGGCAGACTGCTGCCAGTTAGCCACTGGGACAAGGTGAACCTGGCTTCATAGTTCCATGTGTGCTTTTGTGAACTAGAGAAAATGATTTATAGCTTTTAAAACACAAGTTTAAAATATATGTATTTATGTAGGTATGTGGGCATGTGTGGAAGTCTGAGGACAACTTGAGGCTCTCTCCTTCCACTGTGTGTATCCCAGAAGCCAAAGTTAGGTTGATAGGTTTAGCAACAGGTGCCTTTACCTACCAAGCCACCTCTAGGCTCTCTAGTTCTTTGTTGTTATTGAGTATGACTTAGTTTAATAAAATGTAAATGAGCGTTGGCAGATATAAACACCCCTGTACCCACTAATCCAGTCTAGGTAGAGAATATTTCCATTACCCTTAGAAAGCCCAGTTGTGCCCTTCCCAGTCAGGACCCATCCACTGTCCCAGTGATGGTTTCTTTTCTGACTTCTACCTCCACAGTTTGTTTCAGATCAGTTTAGGACTATTAACTCCAGTTAAGCCCCAGAATTTCATATTCAACATAGGCGTTTTGAGTGTGGCCTCTTTTTAGCTCGGTCTGTCTTTCGGATTCTTTTGGTGTGTGTGTGTGTGTGTGTGTGTGTGTGTGTGTGTGTGTGTGTGTGTGTGTGTAGTTTGTTCCGCTTTGTTGCTGAGTGACATTGCTTCGTGTGAATACAGCACTCTCGGTACTTCATTTGGGTTTGTTTCCAGTCTGGGGAAATTGTAAATAAAGCCTGCCATGAGTGCTCTTCTACAAGTCTTTTTGTGGAAAGAGCAAGTTATTTAATATTGCTGAGCCTCGGTATCCTCTTTAATTTTTTTTTCTTTAAGCTTTGTTTATTTTTGTTTTATGGGTATGGTTATTTTGCCTATCTGTCAGTATATGCAAAATGATGGGAGCGCAATGCCCCTGGAGGCCAGAAGAGGGCCTCAGATCCCCCTGAACTGGTGTTACAGATGGTTGTGAGCCACCATGTGTGGGGTAGAAATCAAACCTGGGTGGTGTGGGATTCCCCTCTGTATGCTATGAATATGTTTTATTACCATTGGTTAATAAAGAAGCTGCTTTGGACCTATGGCAGCATAGAACATAGCAAGACAGGAATTCCAAGCAGAGGTAGAGGAGGAAAGAAGGCAGAATCAGGGAGACACCTTGTAGCCACTGAAGGAGGAAGACGCCTGCCCACCAGAACCGTACTGGTAAACCATGAGCCTTGTGATAAAATATAAAATAATAGAAATGGGTTAATTTAAGATGTAAGAGTAAGTTAATTAGAAGCCCAAGCTAATAGGCCAAGCAATGTTGCAATTAATATAGTTTCTGTGTGATTATTTCCAGTCTGGGAGGCCAGGAATGAACAAGCAGTCTCCGCCGACACCTGGGTCCTTTAGAAGAGCAGGGTCAGCTCCAGCCCCACCTTCTGGAGGACGTTGCCTACTTCTGAGATTCAGGATCCAGGAGTGAGAGGTGTCAGCTAGGATGGTTCTTGGAACAGACCAGCTATTGATTAGTTGGTGGTGGTATCAACCCCCTGCCATCCACTCCAGTGAGAGTTTAACCTCTCTGATCTGGGCATCCTTTATCCCTGTTTGATGCCCCTCAAAGGCTCACCTGGGTGCCACTGTCAGGGAGCACTCTGTGGCCAGCCACCTCTTCCTCCAGGCTCTCCCAGTGACTACTGAGTGCGATGTGGCATGTTCTATCATCTGTTATTTAATCAACAAATATTTATTGATCACTGCTTTGTGCTAGAACTTTGCTAGGTAACCAATGCTATGGCAATGAACAAAGCAAGCCCAAATTGTTGCTCTCAAAGGTTATCTATCTATGGATAAAATATATAGTAATATGATTAATAGGTCTCTGGGTATGAAGTAAACAAGAGGGTTAAAGTGAGCCATGGCCTAGGGCAGTGTGTGGCTTTGCAAGTGTGTGAGTAAGTGAGTGTGTGTATGTGTGTACATGTGTTTGTGTGCCCTGATACACACACATGTGGAGGCAGAGGTTGACACGGGGTGTTGTCATAGTTAGAGTTAGTTTTTATCAATGCTACACACACTTAGACCTGAGAAGAAGGACTCTCAGTTGAGGCATTGCTTCTCTAAGACTGGCCTGTGAGTGTCTCTGCTGGGCGCTGTCTTGATTGCCAATTGACTTGGGAGGGTCCAGCCCACCGTGGGCGGTGCCATCCCCTAGCTGACGGGTCTGGGTTGTATATGAAACAAGCTGAGCAAGCCAGCAGGGAGAGCGTCGGTAAGCAGCATTTCTCCATGGTTACTGCTTCAGTTTCTGACTCCAGATTCCTGCCTCGACTTCCCTCAATGGTAGACTGTAACCTGTAAGTGAAATAAACCCTTCCTCAAGTTGGTTTGGTCATGATGTTTTACCATGGCAACAGAAAGCAAATCAGAACAGATGTCTTCCTTTATATACATTTTAAGACCAGTTTCTCATCGAACTCAACATTCTGACTAGAGTCTTCTAGGGTCTACCTGCCTCCACCCCACCAGCATGGGACTATAAATGTGTACCTACATGCCTGACTTTCACTAGGTTCTGGGGATCCAAACGCCAGTCCTCATGCTTACGCGGCAAGCTCTTTCCCCACTGAGCCATCACCCCAGCTCCCATTCTGTGGTTTTAAGGTGGGAGGTTGCTGGCAGGCTCTTGAAATTTTGAAAATTTATGTTTATAATGAGAGTTACTTGGTAAATTTTTTTTAAAGCTTCATTTATTTTTACTTATGACTGTATGTATGTTTGTATGTATGTATGCACACATGTGTACAGATGCCTGTGGGAGCCAGAAGAGGGCATTGGATCTTCTGGCAGGCAGTTGTGAGCCTGTGGGTGATGGGGAGCGAATTCTGGCTCTCTGCAGGAGCCGCTAGAGAGCCCAGCCGCAGAGACAGACTCCAGCCGCTGATGGGTAAGTTTGAACCAGCAGATTCCTGGACCACACTCCCAGGAATTTCCATTCATTTGGTCCTGGG